ATCCTGCCCCCTCCTCCACCACTGCAACCACGCCTCTTTCCTCCTCCCCTCCTCCCCTCCTCCCCTACTTCGCCCCCTACCGCATGGAGCCGGGGAAGGTGGCCGAGGCGCTGGCGCTGCGGCGGCGGACGGAGGACCGGGCACAGGCGGCGCGGGCCAAGGCCAAGGCGCGGCAGGAGGCCAAGCTGCGCCGGGATGTGCGGCGGGCGGTGGGCCAGCGAGTCCATGCCGCCCGCTACTCGACCTCGCTGGGCATCGCCACCCCCGGCCCCGGCGCATACGTCCTCCCGCGCCCGCCCACCGGCCCGGCTGCCTCCTTTGGCAAGCCGGCGTACTATGAGATCGCCAGCACCCGCGCCCCGCTGCCCCGCCCGCGCCCGCCTGCCCGCCCAGCCTCGGCTCGCCCGTCCACCCGATCGCGTCCGTCGGTCCCGACCGCAACTCGCGATCGCGCCCGCCGCAATCCCGAGCCGGCCCTCCGCGCTGCCCTGCCCGACGCCTTTCCCGAGCCGATGCCGCTGCTGGCCGGCAAAGGGACCAGCCCGCGCGCCGCGCGCCGCACCACCCATCGCCGAGCGGCGACCCTGATGGCGCTGAGCCAGTCCGGGCCTGCCCTCCGGCGGGCGGCGACTGCGCCAACTAGGGCCGTCTTTGCCGTCGCCCCGCCCTCGGGCGATGGCGATGGCGACGGCGAACCGTCACTCCTCGATCAGGTCGTCCTTCGCGGTCCGCCCACTCGCAACCCGCGCCGCAAAGAAGAGCTTAAGCAGGCGGCAGAGCGGGTGGTTGCTGTCCGTGCTCGACGCGCTCGACTCAAGGCCGCACGGGTGGAGCAAGCCCGAGCTCGTGGCCTAGCGCCTGACCCAGCAACGCCTGCCGCGACTGTCGACTCACGCCCATCGTCGGCGGCGGCATCGGCGTCGACCGTGCTCGCCGAGCCCGCCGAGCCCGCCATGTTCTACGTCTCGCCATTTGACTACGGTGTCGGCACTTCTCGCCGCGGACCTGTCCTAGGCCCGCCGCCGGAGCCGGCGGAGCGCAAGCGGCCGCGTGGGACTGACTATCCGCCGCTGGACAAGACTTCGGCGTTTGGCACGCTAGCGCCGCAAACCGGCCCGAGATGGGGCGGGCATCCGGCTCAACGCCGTGACCGGGCCGCCGCACGCAAGAAGAACATTGCCGCCGCCTCACTCGCACCGGGGCCGGCAGACTATGGCGGCCGCACGAGCGGTGCTGCTTCCCAGGCTGGTGGGCCACGGTTCGCCCTCGGCACAGCGGCGAGGTTCACTGATCCAGTCACCCGTGAAAAGGCGGCGCTCCCCGGGCCGCAGGACTACGTGGTGCCCGATCCGCCACCGCGGCTCCCGCCGCCGACGTTGAAGGGCAAGCGGCACGGGCCAGGTCACGACGTGCCGTTGTCCGCGGGGCCGGGTCCCAAGTACCGCCTGCCGTCGCCACGATCTGCGCGCGGCCCGATCCTGCGGCCTGACAAGCACGAGGCCCGCGGGAGTGGGCTCGAGTGGCAGACGCCTGCGCCCGGTGCATACAACCCCGACGACAGCGCCGTCCGCGCCAAACCACGCTCGGTCGCCATGGGCCCACCCACTCTCTCCACACGTCCGCCTCCTGCCGTCGTTGACCTCTCCATCCCACCCGTCACTGCGTACAAGCCCAAGACCGGTGCCATCGGCGAGCCCGGTACTGGTCCGGCGCCGACCATTGCGCCGCCGCCAACCACCAGCGGAATGGCATGGGTTAACAACGGGCCGCCCATCGGTGCCTACGCCGTGCCCAACGTCCGCGATGGTCCGGCATTTTCGATGGCCGGCAAGCCACCGCCGCCGCCACCGCCGCAGGCTCCGGGACCTGGCGCTTACAACCTGGCGTCGCCACCGCAGCTGTCCTCTCCAGAGGCGGACTCGGGCAAGCCGACAACCGGGCTGCGTTTGGTGCAAAGGCGGCGCGGTTTGATGCTGCACCAGCCTCCGCCTCGCCAGGTCCCGGCGCGTACGACGGCCGCATTCCCGCAGTCGAGGCAACGCATGCGGTGGCTTTCAAGGGCAGCTCCCGGCGGTGCGATCTTCGGCTGGAAGGGCAGCCCGGGCTGGACTCGCCGGGACCGGGCGCGTACGGCGCTGGCGGCGACGCGCTCAAGCGGCTAGACCAGGCCACCACCGCCATCGAGCCAGGCTTTACTCTCGGCTCGCGGGCGCTGTACGAGAACGTCGCCCTTGCGCCGCAGCTCTTTGGCTCGCTGCACTAGCACGGCGAGGCGGCAGCGAATGAACAAATGCCGCAGCAGCAGCAGCAGCAGCAGCAGCAGCAGCAGCAGCAGCAGCAGCAGCAGCAGCAGAAGGCAGGCAGCGTCGTCGTCCGGCCGGCGCACGCCGCACGCCGCACACCGACACCGCACTCAGCACCGGACGAGGCGCGACAGACGGCATGGCGGACCGGGCGCAGGCCGGAGAAGACTTGGTGCGGGCGGTGGAGGACGCCGGACAGGCGGTGACGGCGGCGGCCGAGGGTGGCGGTGGCGTGGTCGACGAGGGCGCTGTGTGCCTGGTGGCTCTCTGCCGGGCGGTGGAGGCGCTACTGCGCCACGGCCTGCGGGCCCGCGGCTCATTCTTCGGCGGCGCCAAGGACTACATCCACTTTGTGGCCGCCGCTGCCCGCGACGCACCGGCGGCCGCCACTACGCTGCGCTCCGAGGCCGCTACCTTTGGCGTCTCCACCCCCGCCGGCCGCGGGCGGGCCTTTCTGCGCGCCGCCCTGGCCGAGCAAGCCCTGGCTCCCCACCTGGCCGCGCTGACCAGCGACGTGTGGACCGTGTCCGAGTGGTACGAGGCGCACGCTGCTCTTCGCTCGCCCACGCTGCGCACTCGTGCCCTCACCGCCCTTGATGGCCTGACCCCCATCGTCTTTGCTCTCTGCGTCAAAGACGTCGATCTCGACGCCACCTGGGCTCCACCCGCCGCCGCGGGCAGCGCCGCCACGAGCAGCCCGCCACGCCGCACACATGTTGATGCGCTCAGCAACACGCCACTCCCACCGCCACTCCCACAGCCGGTGGCATCCGAGACCGGACAGCCACAGCAGCAGCAGGTGGTGGAGCTCGTCCCGCTCGGCCGCTTTGCGCAGCGCGAGTACCGCAAGGCGTGGCTGGCAGCGCTGTCGGCGGCGACCGAAGCGTGGTATCGCGCCAACGAGGCCGATGACGCGGCGCAGACTGCGGCAAACGTTGCCGCCGAGCTGCAGGCGGAAGTTTTGGCGCTGGCATCGTCGGCTACCGCTGCCGAGGCGCGGGCGGCGCAGGCGGGCGTCGAGCGCGACGCCGCTGAAACTCGGGCTGCCGAGCTCGAGCGGGCGCTGGAAGCAGAAGAGAGAGTCACCTCGCAGATCACACTCGAGTACAATGCCAAGCTCAAGGCTCTGGCCGCCTCCGAAGCGGAGAACTTTGAACTCAAGCTCACACTCGTCGCGCTGGGCAAGCAGCTCCGCGACGCCGGACTTGTGCCGTGCGTCGAGACCGGCAACGACGGCGACGAGACGGGTGCGGGTGCTGGCGCGAGCACTTGTAGTGCGGCAGAAGCAAGCGTCGACGATGACGACGACATGACATGGCTGGACGAGACGTTGGGCCTTGCGCCGGTGGCGGGTGTGACCGACAGCAGCGGAGCCGAGGAGGACACCGAGTGGCTGGATGTGTTTCTGGTCTCGGGTGCGCTAGCCAACGGGCAGCGGAAGACAAGACCCAGCTGATTGGGCTTGCTGCTCTGGCTACGAAACCATGCAGTTGTCGCCGAGCGACTGTGCGTAGTGATCGGTAAAGGCGGCGCGGAGGTCGTCGACGGCGTGCTCGAGAGTGGCAAACTGCTCTTCGAGGCCGAGCGGCGGCGAGGGAAGGTCAACCCGTGATGGCGGACCGGCTAGGACCTCGGCTGCAGAAACGGCCGCGGCTGCCGGATCTGATGCAGCGCGGACAAGTGAGGCCAGGTCGCCAAGCCCGGATTTGAGGGTGGCGGCCCGGGCCGAGAACTGCGCCAGCGTCGAGCGCGAGACGGGTGCGCTCTCGGCCTCGGAGCCCAGCGTCGAGTCGGCTTTGGCGGCGCGGAGCCGTCCAGAGAGGTCGGTGATGGCCTTGTCGCGAGCGGCAAGCGTGACGCGCGCCTCTGCCAGCAAAGACGAGAGGCGGGCGACTTCGTCTTCGAGAGCGGCAGCGTGGTCGCGGAGTGGCCCCGAGGTGAGCGACGCCCGGAGCGACGCCACGGTCTCCTGCGACTCGGCGTATGCCTCTTGCAGTGTCGACAGCTGATGCTGCGCCGCCGAAAGACGGGCCGCTTGGTCACCAGGCGACGCCGAAGCCGCCAGCGATGCCGTCCGCGCACGCATAGCTTGGACCTGTTCACGGAGCGCCGAGATGGCGGCGTCCTGGTCAGCCGCCTGGGCCTCGGCTGCAGCCTGGGCCTCGCGAGCGTGGGCAACATCAGCCCGTGCCTGTGCCAACTCGGCGCGCAAGCGGGCGACGTCGCTTGCAGATGCGTCGCTTGCAGGAGGGCCTGCAGCCTGGCTCGACCCGCCCGACGCATTCCGGCGCCTACGCTCGGCGTCAAGGTCGGCCTGGAGGCGGCGGACCAGACGCGACGACTCGGCATGGGCGGCCGAGAGCGATGAAATTGTAGCCGTCTTTTGCGCGAGCTGCACGTCCTGGTCGGCAAGCTGGGCGCGCAGGCGCATCAGCTCGCGCGGAGGAGGAGCGGCGGTAGCCAGTGCCGCCCGCAAGCGGATGAGCTGAGCCTCCTTGTCCGCCAGCGACGCGTCCTTGCGCTGCAGCAGCTGCTCCAGCACCAAGGGCGATGCTGCTGAGACCATGGCGTCTGCCCGCGGCGGTGTCGTCCACCGCGTGGCCACCTGGGTCCGACGGACGGGCGACGCTGGCGGCGGCGACGGCAGCAGCGGCGCTGCGCCAGCAACTGGATCCAGCGACGCCAAGCGGTGGACAGTCTCCTTGAGTGAGGCCAGCCACTCGAGCGATGACGAGTGCCCCGGCCGGGCAGGCTCAGCCCTGCGCTCGCCGCGAGCAGCCGTAGCGGCAGGCACGCCCGGGTACGCCAGCCGGCGCGAGGTTGGAGGGGGTGGCGACGGTGGCGTGGCCGGCGGGCGGTAGTAGTAAGCGTCCATGGCGCGCCTAGCACAGGGAGAGTTGTGAAGAGTGGGGATAGGCGGAGAGAGGGAGGGGAGAAGGGGGGGAGAGGGAGGGGAGTGGTGGGAGGGGAGGGGGGGGGGGGGGAGGGGTTGGCGCGCGCGCGGGCCACCCGCTTGCCACTCCTGCTCACCCCACCACAGCAAACCCACACAACAGAGGGTCACGCCACACACTCACTCACACTCACACACCACCACCACCACCACCACCACAACAACCGCCACCACAACCGCCACACCACCACACACACACGCATACGCACACGCACGCATACACAAATCCGACACTCACGGGATACACGAATCCAACCGGGCTCTGCGTAGGCCTCTGTGTCAGCCATGGACCCCGAGGCGTACGAGGCCATCGTCAAGGAGCTCGACAAGCTGCGACCTGACGAAGAGCTAGGCATGCTCGATCTGGCGCATCTTGCGGCAGTGTGTGGGTACGCGGCGCCGAGAGGAAGGGGAAGAGGGAGCTTTAGGTGGGGCGCCAATACTCATGGCAGCAATGATGGGGGTGGCGAGGCGACGGCAGGACTTCGGCGGAGACGATCAAGGCGCTGCACGGACAATACTTTCGCCAGAAGCATGGCTTCCGGCATGCACAGCTTCTGGACAACATCGACGAGGTTGGTGCGCTTTTCGGCCGATGGTGCGCCCGGCGCGAGGGCGACTCGATCGTGGACCTGGCCATCGAGAAGGACCTGGCCATCGGCCTCATGGCCCGCGTCTTGCTCAGCGCGTTCTATGCGACTCGCGACAAGGTCGAGAGCGGCAGCGATCCTGCCTCGGCTGCGCTGGCTCTTGGTCGCGACGATGTCTCCAAGAGGCACTCCAAGATTGTCACGCGAGCCATGGAGCGCCCGCACGACGTCGGCCTGCCGCCATGGATCGCCGACCAGGTGGCGGATGCCGTCGGCATCGCTGGGCACTACGCACCAGTCTCGGGCGTCATCCGCCGCATTGCCGGCGTCGAGTACGAGCACGTTCTTCAAGAACACGTCGCCAACGCCGGCCTCTCGTATGTCTCCGAAAAGAAGCTCACCGAGCTCGGCCAGTCCATCACCCCGGACATGCGTCTCGACGTGCCAATTCTCGTCGTTCACGCCGGGGAGCACAAAATCATCAACTGGATCGAGTCCAAGGCCTCGTTTGGCGATCCCTCAACCATCAAGCACGACTCGGCACAGTTTGTGCGCTACCGCGAGCGCGCCGGCCCAGGACTTGTCATCTACTGGTTCGGCATCGTTGCGTGCAGCCTCGTGGTCGAGCTTGCCCAGGAGGGCGTCCTGCTCATGGACGGCTTCCCACCCCACGACCACATTGTGCAGATTGACCCCTCCGCAGGTAGCAGCTCGCAGCGATGAGGGTAACTGTTACCACTTGTAGCGCCACGAGTCAAGCGAGTGGCCCACTCGCTTGCCCTCCCTCTCCCTCCCTGCTGTAGTGACCATCATTGCCGTAAACATGTGTTGATGCTGAGCAGACGGGGGGCACGTATCGCTTGGACACTAGCGCACGAGGAGACGCCGAGCTAGGCCCCCAGGCGGGCTTGGACGAGAACCTCACAAACGTAAAAAAATGCTTACGAAAAGGCAACTAAACGTCGAAAAAATTCAAAATATTAGACTCTAATATATATCCTGTTGATATTTGAAAATATCGGCTGTGTTGTATATTAATATAAAAATTTAACGTTAGTTTTATATAAGTTTTTGGATCGAATGTTAGTTGCTGGCTCACACTTTGAGTTTGGGCAACCTCCAAGGTAAGCCGACAACTTGTCGGCTTCTCCGCCCTTCCCTCGCTGCCTCTGCCCCATCTACTCCTCCAAGCCGAACGCCACCTCTCTACGTACCTCGCAAAATCATCTCATTTGCCTCCATGGGCTTCAATCTAAGATCCTAGTTGTTTGACGCTGTACAGCCCCGTCGCCGCAGACGCCTCCAAGCGCACAAGTTAGCGCGTTGCTCGTTGATCTCGGTTTTGCACTTTATCTTTTGTCCCCACCGTCTCCAGCACAGCTCAAACCCCTTTGTCCTCTTCCGCTCTACATAAGCCCTCGTCGCCCCTTCATCCCTGACTACCCTCTTCCTCTTCCCACTCTCCCCTACTTCTCGCGCACGCGATCACCCGCCATCGTGGCCAGATCGTGCGTTGTGAACTGTCCCCCACCGCGACCGACCGTCGGACGTCATCATTCACCTTTGAAGCTACCTCCCACCCCTCTCATCCACCCAGCATGGAGTGGACAGGACCCGACATCGCACGGCTGCGGCTGTATCGGGAGAAGCCGCGTATTGGTGGTACGCATGCTGCACGGGCGTCCAAGGGGAGGATGGAGGGGGGGAGGGGGGAAGAGGCGGAATGGGGCCGGCTGCGGCGTCGACGCAGGCATCCACGGAGCCGGTGACTCACACTGTGTGCCTGCTGCAACAGGACTCCCCATTCTACATCTGCCGTTCGTGGCGCTGTATGCTGGCGTGCTGTACTACATGTACACAACCATCGGCGCGCCGTATGAGGACGCGCTGGCGGCCGGGGCAGTGTTCAACCCAGCCCGGCCGCGGCCGTGCCGTGAGCTGCCGTGGGAGTACATGCCGTCGTTTGTGTCGCGGCTTGCGCTCGGCTTTGCGTGCTTCCTGCACGCGCTGACGCTCTTTGCTACGCGGTGGAACATGGGTGTGCGGTGCGCGCTTTTCTACAGCTCCCTAGCTAACTCGGCCGATGCGCTCGAGGACGCCACGGCGGTTCGCGTCGATCCGCACAAGCACAAGGGCAAGCCCGAGCTTGTCCAGTTGGAGTGGATGGAGCTGAGCTCGCCCAGCGAGCTCAGCTTTCTCATGCCTGACAGAAGCACGAGCAGAGTGGCCGGTAAGCTCCCCGCATACGACGACGAGGTCGATGGCGAGCCGGTCACGCTCCCGTTCTTTGTCTTCCAGGAGATCAAGTACGTGTACCATCCCGACGCCGAGCTCTGGCTCCGCGTCGAGTGTCCGGTCGACGCGCCACTGGAGAGCTACATCTCTGCCGAAGGCCTGCATCTGGCTGATGCCGGCGACGCGCGGTCGATGTTTGGCCCGAACCTGTACGAGATTCCCATGCCGACCTTTGGCGAACTGTACAAGGATCAGCTCCTTTCGCCGTTTACCGTCTTCCAGTTCTTCTGTGTCCTCCTCTGGTGCCTCGACGACTACTGGAAGTACTCGCTCTTCACGCTCGCCATGCTTCTTGTCTTTGAGGCCACGGTCTCGTTCTCACGGCTTAAGTCGCTCTCGACGCTTCGGGCCATGAACAACGCGCCGCGCGCCATCCTCGCCTTCCACTCGGGCAAGTGGGTTCCGGTCGACTCGACCGAGCTTCTTCCCGGCGACATCATCTCTATCCGCCGAAACGCGGTGGCAGCGACTACCATGTCTACGCTAGAGGATCGCGCCAGCTCGTCCGCCACCAGTGCCGGCGCGAGCGACCAGCCGCAGTCGTCTGACAACACCATTCCGTGCGACTGCCTCCTGCTCTCAGGCTCGGTCGTGGTTAACGAGGCCAACTTGACCGGCGAGTCGGTTCCGCAGCTTAAGGAGGGCGTGGCCGCCACCGAGGTCGCTCCGCATGTCGCGCTCGACATCAACGGCGAGCACAAGGTTCACATGGTGTTTGGCGGGACGACGCTGCTGCAGCACACAGGGACTGGCGCGAGCAGCAGTGGTGACACCGACAAGCTCTCACCGCCAGACGGCGGCGCCGCCGCTTACGTCCTCCGAACCGGCTTTTCGTCGTCACAGGGCAAGCTTGTGCGCATGATTCAGTTCGGCGCCGAGAAGGTGACCGCTGGTGCCGGCGAGGTCCTCCTTCTCATGGGCTTCCTCCTCGTCTTTGCCATCATCTCCTCGGGCTACGTCCTGTACAAGGGCATGTACGATGATGACCGCGACCAGTTTGACCTTCTCCTCCACTGCATTCTTATCGTGACGTCGGTTATTCCGCCAGACCTCAACATGCAGCTGGCGATGGCGGTCAACTCGTCGCTGATGACGCTGATGAAGGCTGCCATCTTTTGCACCGAGCCATTCCGCATTCCGCTCGCTGGTAAGGTCAACGTTGCGCTCTTTGATAAGACTGGGACCATCACGACCGACAAGCTTGTTGCCGACGCTGTTGTTGCTCGCAACGGACCGCCGGTCAAGCCCAGCGATGCCCCTCGCTCTGCGCGGGTCGTCCTTGCCGGCTGCCACTCGCTCGTCCAGGTCAACGGCATTGTGCTAGGCGATCCGCTCGAGGAGGAGGCACTCAAAGCTGTCAGCGCGTCGTACGATGCCCAGACCAACATTGCTGCCCTGAACTCGTCGTCGTCGTCGCCCACCGTTCGCATTCTCCATCGCCACCATTTTGCCTCCAAGTTGCAGCGCATGTCGGTCCTGGCCGCAGTCAAGCAATCGCCGACGGCCTCGGCCGAGCTGTGGGCCCTGGTGAAGGGCTCGCCTGAGGCTGTGGCCAAGCTCCTGGCGCCGACGAGCGGGCTCTCGAGCTGGTACAACGCCACGTACCAGCGGCTGGCCAAGGACGGCAAGCGAGTCCTTGCGCTGGCGCACAAGGTGGTTTCCGGTCCACGCGGTGACGCCGCGGTTGCCACGGCCGCCGAGCAGCTGTTTGAAGGCTCTCGCAGCTCCATCGAGTCGGACCTTGTCTTTGATGGCTTTATCGTCTTTTCGTGCGCCGTCCGCGCCGACTCGCGTGATGTGGTCGCCGAGCTTCGCGAGGCCGCCCACGACGTGGTCATGATCACCGGTGACGCTCTCTTCACCGCTGTCCACGTGGCGCGGACCGTCAACATCCTCGACAGCGACCGCCCGGCACTCGTCTGCCAGCCAGCAAGCGATGGGAGCGGCGGGCTGGTGTGGGCCAACCCCATCGAGGCTGCCGACGGCGTCGGCGAGATCGAGCCGGTGGCACTGGCCTCGGCTGATGCCCTGGCTGCCCAGTTCTCAAAGCTCGCTGTCGGCGCTGACCTTGCCATCACCGGCGCCTCGTTGGCGGAGCTCGTCGAAGCCGTGCCCGACGGCGCTGCCTGGCCGGCCATGGTTTACTTTAAGGTCTTTGCCCGGATGACGCCCGAGCTGAAGGAAAAGGTCCTGGCGGCGCTCAAGGACTCTGGCCACTTTACGCTCATGTGCGGCGACGGCGCCAACGACGTCGGTGCGCTCAAGCAGGCGCACGTCGGCCTTGCGCTGCTCTCGGGCTTTGGCAATGCCAATGCGGCGTCGGAGGACGACGTCGATGCCGACGCGGCCTCTGGCGACAAGCCCACTAGCAGCAAGCCCAAGGGCAAGTCCAAGGGCAAGGGCAAGGGCAAGGGTAAGGCCGTGGCCAAGCCGGAGCTCACACCGGCGGAGATTGCGGCTAAAAAGGCCGAGGCTGCCAAGGCCAAGCAGGCCGAGTACGCGGCCAAGATGGCCGAGGTCGAAGCTAACATCCGCGCGCGGAGCGAGGCCGGCGAGTCGATGGCGACGGTGAAGGAGTGGTGGGCGTTTATCCAGCGTGAGACCGCGAGCGCCAAGGCCAAGGCCTCGGCGCGTAAGCCCAAGACGTTTGCCGAGTCGGCTGCGCTTCTCGCGGCGCAGGACGACCTCTCTGAAGGCGGCGGCGGCGAGATCCCGATGGTCAAGCTCGGCGACGCGTCGATCGCCTCGCCGTTCACCTCCAAGAAGCCGTCGATCCGTGGCGCCGTCGACGTCATCCGCCAGGGCCGCTGCACGCTCGTCACCACACTGCAGATGTACCAGATCCTCGCCCTCTCGTGCCTTATCTCGTCGTACTCACTTTCTGTCCTCTACCTCGACGGCATCAAGTACGGCGATACCCAGATGACGGCGACCGGCCTGCTGATGACCATCTCGTACTTTGCCATCTCGATGGCCAAACCGCTGCCGCGCCTCTCGGACGTCCGCCCACTTACTTCGATCTTCCATCCGGCGCTCTTCCTCTCGCTCCTCGCCCAGTTTGCGGTCCACCTCGGGACCATGGTCTACGCCGTGAGCCTGACCAAGGCGCTGCTGCCAGCCGACACCGTGCTCTCCATCGACGGCGACTTTGAGCCGAACCTCATCAACACCGTGGTCTTCCTCATCTCGTCGGTCCAGAACGTCTGCGTCTTTGCAGTCAACTTTAAGGGACGCCCGTTCATGTACGGCATCACCGAGAACCGCGCCCTCATGTGGTCGCTCGGCCTCGTGGTCCTCGGCGCCTTTGTCTGCGCCTTTGAGGTCTCGCCCATGTTCAACGAGGCCCTCCAGCTTGTTGCCTTTCCTGACGGCGCCTTTCGCTCCACCATCGTCCTCCTCTTGCTTGTCGATGTCGCCGGCACCTTTGTTCTCGATCGCCTCCTCCTCGCCATCTTTGCCCCCGCCATCTTCAAGTCGTCGCTCAAGGACATTGACGGGCCCACCGTTGCCCGCGTCGTCCGCAACCTGCTCGGCCTTGGCGCCTTTCTCTACTTCCTGGTCATCCCGGCCACCCTTGCCGATCCCGAGGCACTCGAGAACGGCGAGCTCGAGTGGTGACACTCGTCACAGCACCCACTGGCTGGCGACCTCGCCTCGCTGAACCCCTGTCGTCGTAAATCGTTGACCTCCAGCTCGTTTGCCGAAAGAGGACTTCTGTTTCGGCACGTCAGTGAGCCGGGGCAGTCGTGCCACCCCGCTCGCAGGTGCCCCTCACACTCACCTCTTGGGCGACCGGGAAAGCTCGTTTGTCATTGAGGAAGCGCCATCCTACGACGAGCTCTGCTACCATGTCCGGCATTACCAGCGTGCACGTTGGGAACAAGTGTCTGTCTCCCGACGCGTCCGTCAGCTCGATGGGGAGGGCGACGGCGCCCAGGATGAGGACACTCCTGAAGCACCTCTGCCTCTTCCCCTACACCCCTCAGTTTGAGATATCGTTATCAGACGTGACGGTCATGTTCGACCTCAAGAAGGACGACTTCCCTAACCTGCGGTCGCTCAATGACGGCATGCTGTCGATGATGGTCTTTGCCTTTATCGGCTCCATCGTCCCCCTAGTCGGTCGGGAGGGGGGCAGTGGTGGGCTGGCGCAGGGCAGAACTCTGACACACGATTGAAACCCATCAAGGGTCACGGCGCTAGTGACCCTCCCCACGCTACTCATTGCACACTCCACTCCCCCAGCACCCGTCATGGTACTCAAGTTTGTGGGCATTGTTACCGCAACCATTGTCATGGCCTTTCTCATTGGTGGCCTTGCTGGCGTACGCAGTCCCCTCTCATGACGACCCCCCGTGTGTGCCCCTACCTGCTGTTCCGCAACAGAGTGCTCCCCCTCCTCTCGCGCCCCCTCTCACCCCCCCTCCCCCCCATCACCTTCACGCAGGCCCTCTACAAGATCGAGGGTTCCGACACGCTGGGCGACTATACCACTCGTCTGTTCTGGCACAAGGCCGAGGCCAAGTACTCCTCCGGGAACCTCAAGGGCACCGCGGTTACGCTCAAACTCAACAGGGACGACAACCCCAACCTCTATGCGCTCAACGACGGCATGCTCTCGATGATGATCTTTGCCTTCATGGCCTCCATTGGCGCCCTGGTCGGCGCTGTCCTCTACGCCTTTGATCCGGTGCCGGCTGCCCCCGCTCGCTCTCCAAGCTCGTGGTCCTGGGCGCTGGCGTTGCAACCGCCGTCCTCATGCTCATCTACCTCATTGGTGTCGGCGTCGGCCTGCCTCCCGCTATTGAGAAGGACTGCAAGCGCACTAGCTCGAACTGCGAGGCCCCGGACTTCTTCGGCAAGAAGAACGGTGAGACGCGCTCGGGCGGAGAGGGCTACATTGTCACCATGGTCGCCATGCCGTTTGCCATTGCCACCGTGATCTGGATCTTCATCTTTGACGCCGAGGCCACCGATGGCCCTGCCACTAACGACGTCCAGATCTCCGAGACCAAGGCGTAACCGTTGCTGAGTCTTGGGGCATAATTGGTACATACCGCTTGCACTTTAAACTCGCCCTCGAGCCGATCGCCCAAACTTCGAGGCGCTTCGCTTGGATCCTTGTCTTGAATGTGGAGGAGCGCGAGCGGCCGAGGCACGGCAGCGTGCTGCCAGGCGCTTCATTTGGGACGCAGTCGCTGGTTCTGCTGATTCTGCCGTCGCTAGAGGAGCTTGGCGCGCTCTGTGCCAAAAACGCCGAGCTGCGGATTTGCGCTGGGCACGCCGACGTAGTATGGTTGCGCGGCAACAGCAACCGACCGTCTACTCGGTGCAGACATTGAAAATGATCGAACCAGAAAAGCCGGCTTCGCTCAGGCTCCCCGCCCCGCGGCCGTATTGCTTGCGCGGATAGGTGGAGGCGACGCCGATGACATTTTTGATGCCCTCGACCTCGAGCCAGTCGAGCACTGTGTCGAAGAGCGTGGCCGCCGTGAACCGGCGCTGCAGTCGCCCGCTCGACGTCCGTACTGCCACGGTCACCACATCAGCGCCGTCGGCCTCGGGCTCGGTAGGCAGTGCGTCTTTGAGGCTGGCTAGCCGCGTGGCGGCGGCTTCGGCAGCGCGAGCCTCTTCAAGCATGACGCGCTCGGCGGCGAGCTTGGCCTCGGTGGCCTTGGCCTCGGCCTCGGCCTTGGCTTTCGCCTTGGCGCGGTCGGCAGCGAGTGAGGCCTGGTACGCTGCGTCCTGCTGCTCCCGCATGGCGGTCCGCTCAGCGGCGAGTCGCTCGCGCTCGTCGCGCTCCGCCCGCTCGGAATCGGTCAGTGAGGCTTCGGCTGCCGCCGCAACTTTGAGCCGCTTCGACATTGCCACTCGCTCGTCGTCAGCCCGTCGACTGTGCGCTTCAGCGGCCTCTAGCACACAGGCAACCATGTCGTCGACGGTGACGTAGCCGGTCCTTGCCGAGAGCAGTGCCATTTCGCCGTTCACGGCGCCCACACATGCCACCACCGGGTACTGGTCGATGACCAGCGATGCCCGCGAGAGCCCGGTCTCTGCCACCGCCGCAAGCTTCCGCACGTGGGGATTGCGCTCATCGGCGGCGCCGGCCACGTTGCGTGCCCACACTAGCGCGTTCATCACCACCACTTCACGCACGTACTCGGAGCAGAGGATGTGCTCGCAGAATTGCTGCGAGAATTCGGCGTCCGAGTTGTGCAGAACAACAACCACAAACCGCGAGAGCGCCGTCGCAGAGTGGAACGCCTCCTCCAGCGCGCCATCAAAAAACGGCGGATGGCCCGTCCCAAACTCGGCCTCAAACGCAGTTGTGAACGCCTTGGCCTCTTTCCGCGCCTGCAACGCCGCTGACCGGCTCGGCGCCCGGACAACAGGCCCGCTGACCCGCGACCCGCGCCCTGCTGTCGCCGCGCTTCGCAGCACCGCGCGAAACGCGCGCGCATCATCATTGCTGTTGCTCATCCGGTGGCTGCTCCAGTTGGAGGCCGTCGACGACGGCGGCGGTGCAGCAGCAGCCGCGCTGCTGCTCTCGCACACCGGCTTGCCGCTCATCGTCACGTCGTAGACCGGGACCACCATGTCCAGCTCTAGGAACGACGTGTCGTCGGTCAGCGCTGCCCCGTACGCCGTCACGCCCTCGATCACTTGGTCCGCCACCAGCACCCCGGTGTGCTCGTACACCTGCCGTTTGAGCTCTGCAAGCGTCGCCGCCCGCGGCAGCACAACCTTGTAAGTCGTCGTTCGCCATCGGACCCGAAACGTCACCTTGTCCTCATCAATCGCGCTCACTCGGTCTCCTGTCGCCTCGGTCCCCGCGGTGTCGCCTCCGGCGGTGTCGCCTCCGACGGCATCGGCAGAGGCATCACCCTCCGGCTGGTCGCTGTCCGCCGGAAGCAGCGACATGAGCGTCGCCAGCAGCTCGTCCTTGGACATCGCCGCACTCACGCCGCTCACCCCCTGCACCTGCAGCATCTCCAGAAGCTGCCCCCATCCACCGCGACCTGGTGAGTCACCCTCCTCCCGGCCATGTTCCAAACTGCTCGAATCACCGCCTCCGCCTCTCCCTTTGCCGCCGCCTCTCCGTCACCGCACGGGCACCCACAGGCCAGCCACACGCCCCCTCCAGGCCATGCCTAACCGCTACACACACACATCCATACATACCGTCTCCTTGGGCCAGGTACGGAACTCGTCCATAGCTGCCTTGCTCCCGCCGGCTGGGTCACTCAACTGCTGCGGGTGGGAAGACAGCTGATGCTCTGCGGCCTTCCGCCTGAGCTGCTCCACTATCTTGCGCTCCGCCGTGGGTGGCTCGACCCCCAAGACGTCCTCGCCCTCGCCTGCGCTTGCGCCACTCTCCACCGCCGCCTTCTTGCCCATCCGTTTGCCCGCGACTGCTTCCGCGCCCTTGCCGGCGTCTCATCCGCCCTGGCGGCCCGCGCCTGGCGACCGGCTCGTCTCGCCGCCTCACGCACTGTCGTACTCCCGCGCTCGGCACCGCCGCCCACCCCGTGCGCCGATCTGCGAAGCGCCCTTGCCGCCTGCCCCCCTCCGCCGCCGGCCGAGCTGGCCCTGTTGCTTGATGCGCTACTTGCTGCCGTTACTCGTACCATGCAGCTCGTCGAGCCCGAGCTCGCTGCAGATCTCATCGTCCTCGCCGCACGCTGCCCAGGGGCGGCCGCTTTCCTCCGCGCCTTCCTCGCCTCGCCGCTTGTCAAGTTGGCAGACCTTGAGTTTGTCATCAACGTCAGCGCGGGCGCGGCGGTGGCTGCTGGCCACGCAGATGCCTTTGCCGTCCTCTCTGCCGCCGATAAGCAGGGGTCGATCTGCGCCGCCACCATCCACGACTCTCTTATCACCGCGGTCCGTGCGGATGTTCCAGGTGCACTAGCGGCTGCGTTAGACTGGCTTGGTCTCTCGCCGTCGCGCGAGCTGATCGAGGCGTGCGCTCATGGCGCGCCGCGCGCCCTCGGCATACTCCTTGATCGCACGCCGCCGCGTGCGCTGCGACACGTCTTGCCTGACGGGCTGGGCACCGCTGCCGCTAACGGGCACGTCGACATTGTTGCCGTGCTCATGGCACAACCGCAGCTTGAGGTCTCACCTGCGCTTGCCGCTCGGGTGCTGGCCTCGGCCGCCGCCCATGGGCGCGTCGAGGTTGCTGCCCTGGTCTTGGATGCCTGGCGGACGACAGTCGATCTGAGCCTGGATGACTCGGCGTGCCTCACGGCTGCCACTAGCACGCACTCGGCGGCTGCTTCTGCTGCACTCATGGCCATGTTGTTGCAGGCACCGGGCGCCAATCCCACCGCCCGCAACTGCGAGGCCATCTCCCGCGCCGCCCGGTACGGCCTCCTTGCCAGCCTCGATGTGCTCCTTGATGCCTGTACTCCGGCCCCGCCGCCGCTCGCCTTGACTCGTGCTCTTGATGAGGCGCTCACCCGTGGCCATGCCGACGTGGTCGTGGCGGTCTGTGACCGCATCCGCGATCATTGCGACTCTTGCGCACTCTCACCCGATCTCGCATCGTCGCTCGCTGCCGCCATCAAGATCGGTCATGTGTCGGCAGTCACCGCCTTTACCACTAGCCTACCGGCAACCGTCTTTGACGCCGATGCGCTGGCATCCATCGTCGACAGTCTCCCCCTCGCTCCCGCCGAGCCTGCGGTTCGCGGGCTGGTGGAGGACGTCTGCGCTTGGGCTGCGGCTATCCAACGTGTTATATAAAGTTGGATGGTTTGCCCTTGGTTATCAACTGGGCAAGGACCTGTGGTGTAATGGCAGCATTGAGGATTCCAGTCCCTCAGATCGGAGTTCGATTCTCTGCGGGTCCAGTTTTTTTTTTGTCGGTCTCGTGACCCTCCCAGCCCTCGTGACACGCACTCGCCGCCAACAACAACACACACGTCACATGACCTTGCCTCACATCCTGGAAGTAGCCACCCACTCGCAAGCCACCACACCTCTCCCTTTTGCCTCATGCACACCGCCTGGCTTGTCCTGGCGGCGACAGCGCTGGTCGTGACCGCGCTTGCTCCGCCTGCAGCAGCTACCATCGACCCCAAGCGCACGCTCCTCGTCGACGCCGCCAAGGGTACGCTCACAGCCTCCCACGCCTTTTCTCCCCACCCGGGCGATCGTCACACTCACAACACTGCTGGTCGATGTAGAGTCGGGCAACTTTCTGTTCCGCACCAACATGCCGACGACGGCTAACGGATCGTTTGCCTACGACCTGCTCCTCGAGTACATGCAGCAGCGGGCAGAGGCTGCCGGGCTCAGCTGGCCGGCGTCTGTGTACATTGTTGACATCTCGCTGCTCAACCCGACCGAGTTCAAGGACGAGGCCATCGAGAAGAAGTTCTTCAAGGCACACCCAGAGGCCGGCGAGTACATCAATTGGCCGATTGTGGGCGATGTGTCGAACCCGCACGAGCTTCCGCTGGACGTCGTCAAGGTGCTCGCCGAGCGCATGCACGATTGGGACTTTGACCAGCTTCCCAAGCGCATTCCGCTGGTTCACGAGTGGCTACAGCAAAAGTACGATACCCCGCGGGCCTTTGTCTGGCACTGCGAGGCCGGCACCGACCGCACCGGCGAGGTCTCCGCCGCGTACTACATGCAGTACTTTGGCTGGACGCTCAACCAGTCGCTCACCTACGACTCGCACGTCCACAACCGCCCCATCGAATGGCTCTCCCAGCATGGTGTCGCCTGGTATTGCTACTACCTCCAATACGCTCTCGGTATGTCCGGTCTCGGCTGCGATGCCCCAATTCAGAGCCAGCAGTGGTAGCCAGGCTGCCGCCCCAGGCCGCCACCGGCCGAGCCACCCACCAACATGGCCCACGACCCCCCAGCACAGGATAAAACTACCTCGCGCGCTCGTTAGTACTGCTGGTTGCCTTTGTGACTCTTTCCGCGAGCCCCCTCACCCGCTGCATATCCAGCCAGTCGCCTGGCTGCAATCTGCAATCAGGCCCGGCCGTCGCACTTTGGCACTTTGTGCAGCCTCCCCCCCCCCCCCCCGGTCTCCCACCCTGACCGCCACATACCACCCCAGCCTCAGCTAACCATCCTATGCCTGTACCTATACCCTCTAAGCACTATCCAACCACTTCAGTTTACCCTGCACCACCTATGTAGTTCCCAAGCGCTTCCCCTTGGCTGGCCCGCTTCTGGATCTGTGGCAAAGTGCAAAGTGCAATCCGATTGCACTCTGCCAGTTTGCACTTTCGCGCACATGGTGCTTAAAACCTCGCGCAAAACGTCGCACCGGCAGCGAGTGCCCAAGTCATCCCACCAGCAACAAACAGTTCAAAAGACTCGATCATGTTCACCAACCCTGCTTCCATCGACACCGGCGTTTCTCGTGGTGCCACCAACCCTGCTCGCCACATCGGCAAGTGTATTTACCCGTTTACCGACAAGGAGAACCGCACTTTTGCTCGCAACAACATGAAGGAGATCTTTGCCCAGTACTCGGACGAAAACGGCCTCATCACCCTCGCCAACATCCGCGACGCACTCAAGAGCATCATTCGCGTTAACGGCGGTTCTTGTACCCATGGCGCTGAGGTTTCTGCTGCTCTCGCTGACAGCTTTGACCTCGCCGCCGCCGCTGCCTGCTTCCACGCCGCCTTTGCCGCCCGCAAGCGGAGCAACCCTGCAGCATCGCACACCGCTGACGGCCGCAGCGACGCTAAGCGCCACAACGAGCGCGAGCGCTTTGAAACCTACGGCATGGTTGATGCCCAGGTTTTCATCTCGATGTACCTCGAGCGCATCCACCGGACCGCCTCCCGCCGCGCCAGCTACCACGCCCACAACGCTGCTGCCAAGCTTGAGTTTGAGTCGACCGACTTTTGCTCGCTCGCAGAGATGACTGCCGCCCTCACCGCGATCCGCGCCCCGTTTGCTGACATCTTTGTTGACCACGCCGCAAGCACTGTCAACGCGCAGTTCCTTGCCGACGACATCAGTGATGATGATGACGACGAGGCTAACGCTGGCGACACCATCGCCATGGACGAGGCCCCGGCGGTCGAGACTGTGGCCTTCAACGCGCTCCTTGGCAGCAGCAAGCAGCACTCTGACACCGCCTCTCTCGACTGGTTTCCCTCTCTCGAGAGCATCTACGACTCTGGCTTGGTTGCCATGGACGTCGGCGACCACGATCAGGCGGCACCCGTCCCTATCCATACCGCGGACTTTGATCCGACTGACCCGTTCAACATGGGCTTTTCTGTCGCAACGTCTCACCAGCGCGAGTTTGACACCTTTGACCCGCTCGAGTTCCTCAACTAGCGCCTCCCTAAAGACGACCTCCATCAGCAGCCACCAGCAAACGACACCGCTGTTTTGCGCCGTGACGACAGAATAGCACGCACGAAATGTGCGTTCATTGGCGAAACGGGCAAACACAAGTTTGCCGCAAGTGCAGCCACCCACTGTCATTGGACCGCACCAGCCAACGAGACACCAACGCTCTCTCCCCCCCCCCCCCCCTCCCCGTCCCTCGTCCTCTTGCCCACACCACACCGCACGACTAGGTTGAGCCTTGCAAGCACCGACTGTCACCTCCGGCGCTACCTCCCCCCCCCCCCCCCCCCCCCCCCCACCAGCCGCAACCCCAGCACCTCGCTCGGCCTCCACCACCCGCTTCGCATCATGTCGACGACGGCGTTCAACTGGCGGACGACCCACATTCTTGGCCCGGTGGTCAACAACATCTACTCGCGGTCGCCCGTCAATGCGCTCCAGGTGCGGGACGACCGCCTACTGGTGGGCTTCTCCGACTCGACCGTCCGTCTCTTCGACCGGGCTTCGGGCATCCGGATGTGGACGCTCGAGGGCCATGGTGGGCCTGTCAACTGCCTCCACTCGTCCAAGACCCGCATGGTGACAGGCTCGGACGACAAGATGATCAAGGTGTGGGATATGCGCGAGGGCCGATGCCTCCTCACGCTTGAGGGCCACATCGCGCCCGTGCTCTGCGTCCGCCTCTCAGACCGCCACATCCTCTCGGGCGGCCGCGACCATACCATCAAGGTGTGGGACAAATCGACCGGCTATTGCCTCCGTACCCTCCGTGGCCACACCGGCCGCATTGTTGACCTCCAGCTTGGCGCTGGCTCCGGCTCGCAGTTTTACACCTCGTCGACCGACGGGACTATCAAGCTCTGGGACGTCCGCTCCGAAAACCGCATCCGCTCGTACAAGGGCCACAAAAAGGCCATTGTCTCGTTCCACCACGAAGAAGCCACTCTTATTTCTGCTGCCGACGACGGAACCATCAAGTCTTGGGACTGTGCCACCGGCAAGTGCTCGCTCACCTTGCGGGTCGGCTCGGAGCGGGAAATCCCACAATCCATCCGCATCCGCAACGATCTGCTCTTCTGCGGCGAAGCCTCCGGGACCATTCGCATTCGCGAGGCCTCCACCGGCACGCCCGTCCGCTTGCTCGAGGGTCACGCTTCGCGTGTCGCCGCTCTCCAGGTCGAGGACTTTGAAATCTGGTCTGGCTCGTCCGACTCGACTGTCCGCCGCTGGTCGACCGAAGATGAGGTCCGCATCTTGCTCGAGCGGATGAAGACCGAAGAGTTTGAGGTTGTTGACAACTCTGTCCTCTCCTCGAACACCTTTACCGGCGACCTGACTTCGCCCGGCCCGGCATCGCCGAGCGGCGGTGCGCCGAGCGGCGGTGCGCCGTCGTCTGCTGCCACCTCGTCAGTGGCACCGTCGGCCGTTGATGCCGGCAGCTCAAGCTGTCGCGACTCGGGCAGCCTGGCGGCAGTGACCGTTCCATCCTCCTCGATGACGCCGCTCGCCTCGGGCCTCTCCACCACCTCGTTCTCCGCGGCGGGGCCGGGCTCGCCTGGTGGCGTGCTGGCGCCCGACGGGCCGCCAGGCCCCGCAGTTACACTCTCGTCTGCGCTCCAGGGCACGACCGTCGAGCCGGCCTGGGCTGTTGGCGAGTTCGTGGTAACCGACCTCGCGTCGGGTGACTCGCCCATCCTCTGCTGCGCGCTCTCGCGCGACTACATTGTTTACGGGACCGAGGATGGTCAGATTGTCATTGCCGATCGTGGCTCGCCGAGCTCGCGGCGGACAAAGATGTGGACCTCGCCTATCCGCGCCATCTTTGTCGCCGCCATCGGCGTCGGTTCGGGCGCTGACGACGGCTCGGTCGCGCTCTGGTCGTCCGGCTCGGGTACCGCCGTCTGGTCGGTCCAGCACCATATCGGCGCCGTCAACGCGCTGCAGACGAATGGCAAGTTTGTGGCCTCAGGCTCACAGGACGGTTCGCTCAAGGTCATGAACGCCGCCGACGGTATCCTTGTCCACTCGCTCACCGACCACTCGGGCCCAGTCACCACCCTCCACTTTCTGGCCACCACCATCGTGTCCGGCGCCGCCGACGGCAGCCTTGCCATCTGGAACGCCACCTCGGGTGAGGTTGTCAAGGTTCTCTCCGGCCACAAGGGCGCAGTCACCGCGCTCGAGTTTGATGACCTGGAGGTGCTCTCGGCCTCCGAGGACGGCACCATTCGCGTGTGGGACGTGGCTACCGGCGAGTGCGTCCGTATGTACTCGCTTGGCGAGGGCGAGGCCCGCATTAACTGTCTTCAGTTTGACGATTCGAAGATTGTCCACGGTCTCGCCAATGGTAACCTCGTGGTCCGCGATATGGAGACCGGCGAGTCGGTCCGTGTCCTCACTCGCCACTCTGAGTCGGTCACCGATCTCGCGTACGACGCCAACGTTATTGTCTCGGCTTCGCGCGACGCCTCGCTTCGAATGTGGACCTTTACCGGCGCGCCTGCAGACTCGGGCGGCCTCGCCCGCAGCGACATTGCTGACAAGGTCGAGGCTCGGATGGGAGAGATTATGGCCCGTGCCGGCCCGTCAAGTGGCAAGCCGGGCGACAGCCTACGCGCCGGCGCCTCCGGCACCACCTACTCGCCGGGTACAAGCCCTGGCGGTGGTGGTACGCCCTCGTCGCTCGCTGTCAACTCAACCAGCAAGCATCTCGAGCTCTCAGAGCTGGCCGAGTGGTCGCGGGCCGAGTGCAAGAAGCGGACTATCAACCGCGGCAAGAACACTGCCATCAACTGCCTGCACTTTACCGGCGACTCGTTGGTGACCGGTGGCTCAGACGGTGTCGCCAAGATGTGGGACATCAACACGGGCTCGCGGCTCAAGACCTTCCGCGGCCACCTCGGCGCCGTCAACTGCCTCCGCTTCTCTGGCGACACCCTTGTTTCTGGCGACGACCTGCACGTCCGGGTCTGGTCCATGGCCTCCAACTCGTGCGTCGTCACCCTTGATGGCCACGAGGGTCCCGTCCTCTCGCTCGGCTTCAACTCGGAAGTCATCGTCTCGGGCTCCCGCGACCACACGCTCAAGGTCTGGGACCTTGAGACTGGCCGTCTGCTGCGAACGCTCAAGGGCCACAACGGCCGCATCACCGACCTCGTCCTCCGCGACCAGATGATTGTCTCGGCCTCGACCGACGGCACGCTCAAGCTGTGGGACATCAACACGTCGCAGCGGGTTCGCTCGTTCAAGGGCCACACGCAGGGCGTTAACTGCTGCTCGGTGGTCTCCACCTCGATCGTTTCCGGCTCGGCAGACGCCTCGCTCCGCGTCTGGGACCTCGGCTCTGGATCTACCATCTCGGTCTTTGACCCCTCGGGCGCCAACGACGTCACTCACTGCCTCCAGGCTGACGAGCACAAGATCATCTGCGGCCGTCGCGATGGCGTCCTCGCTGTCCGCACCCTCATCGACGGCTCGGTCGTCCGCACCTGGGATGCCCACACCCGTGCCATCAACGCTGTCCAGTTCGACGAGACCCGTATCGTCTCCGGTTCGGAAGACAAGACCGCCAAGGTCATCGAGTTTGACGACAAGTCTGGCAAGAACAAGTCGTGCGTCATCTCGTAGCCCTCTTCTCCCGCTCCAGGCCGGCGCAGACTCTCCTTCGACCTGCCAAGCTCCGATGTTGTCGCCACTGAAGCCGACACCGCCCAATATTGAACGATGAACTCCTGTGATCAGCCCAGCCTCATCCGCTCGCGCTGTCCGTCCGGTCTGACAAGCCACTCCACCTCCCCCTCCCCCCCCTCCCCCCATGGCTACCCCCACGCACACGCTGGTCTCAGCCCTACGCCCAGGCATGCGTGACGTTGCCCTCCACGTACAGGTTGTGTCGGTCGACGCCACGGCCGATGCCGTCACCACGGCGGGTGAGCCTGTTGTCGCCGTCCACGCCCTCGTTGCCGATGCCTCGGCCGCCGTCGTCCTTGTCGTCCGATCCGCCGCTGCCGCCACGCTGCTTGTTCCGGGCACATGGCTCGCCATCACTGGCGCCGCCGTTTGCATCACCTCGCAGCGCACCCTCGCCGTCACCTTCGAGCCTCGCTGGGGCTCAGCCTCACTGACAGCCGCTGGCGCGCCTGCTGCCGCCGCTGATGATGACGAAGCGCCGCCGATGGAGGCGGCGAGCAACACAGCGGTCAACACAGCGACCAACATCTCCCTCGCTGTTCACGACCTCGTTCGCGCATGAAGTGACGGCCTTTACAGCTGCGAACCCTTGGTCCGCTTGAACGCAAGCCGCACAGTCTCGGAGACTGGGCGGAGACCGGCAGCTACGCCGTACACCAGCGTGGCAAGGACAGCACGGCGGTAAGAGCGCAGGCGGCGGTGCTCGTGCAGGAGGTCGAGGACACCGGCGTCGATGGTGTCACGCAAGGCAGCAAGCTGGGCCTCCAGCGCCGACGTCTTGCTCGAGCCCTTGCGGTTGGCATCGCGGAAGGCCTTGTCGAGCGAGGCTAGCTCCTTCAGGTGGCGCTCGCGGGTCTTGAGCGCCGCGTCGGCGCCAGACACCACAGCGAGCACAAACTCGCCTTCGAGCGCAAGCGTCTCCATCTTGCGTTCCATCCTGGCCACATGTCGGGCCGTCCGCTCGGCGAGCGTCGCACCCCACGCCGAGACGCCGGCCATGAACGGATCGCTGACCGAGGCGCTTGACGAGTGCCCGCGCGAGGTGACCAGCTGCTCGGCAGTGGCGCCAACGGTGACCAGCGCCTCAGCTTCCTTCACCGCGGCGTCGACTCGGGCCTCGCCGGCCGCCACAGCAGCGTCGACAAAGGCCCGCAGATCGGCAACGAGGTCAGCAAAGTGCAGCAGCCGCGAGCCATAGTCGACGGCAGCCAGCAGCTGGCTGCGGTCGTCATCGCCAGCGTCCGACGCCGAGCCTGTAGTCCGCGCCGCCGACGCCATCTCCTTGGCCGCCCACTTGGCAAAGTCCTTGCGCCCGTCTCGCGGCAGAAGAGCGCAACCTGCCGTGAGCCACCGAGCACAGGATGCTCGCACACGTACAGCACAAAACGCTCGAGCGCAGAGCGACGCTTCTCCACAAACTCCTCCGAGAAGCGGCCCAGGCGCTTCTTGCCCGGGAGTGCCGGCACGATGCGGTAGGGAAAGGCCTCGGACAGTGCGCCGTGGAGCCAAACAAAGTCGCGGTAGCGCCTGACCGAGACTGTCTCCTCGCCGCCGGCCGTTGTCACCGTCAGCATGTACGAGGTGTGGGACTTGGAGAGCAGGCCCGATGTCGGTGCCTTGGCCTCGCACACAGCTAGCGCCACCTGCACCCCGACCATCTCCCCACTCGTTCGCTCCGTCGGCAGTGCCGTGCCCAGCGCCCCACCCAGCGCATCATCCGAGTCCGAGAACGAGCCCAGCGCATCGGCCGGCGCCGAGCCCGAGCTCCCCACAGACCCGCTGCTGGACGACTCACCAGCCAACGTCAGCGCCCGTCCACGCCACCCATCGGTACCGCTTGTCCCAGACCCATGTTTAGCCCCAGCTCCTGCCCCAGCTCCTGCCCCAGCTCCGGCCGCGGTCCCGGTCGTCGTCCCGCCCGTCCGTCCGCCTGTCGCCGGGCCTGCCGAGTCTGCGGCGTTTGCAGCCGTCGACGACCGCTGTGTCGGGTCGAGCAGGTCATCGATGAGCGACATGTGGGGAGCACGTGTGGGTCGATATGGTGGTGGTGGTGGTGGTGGTGGTGGTGGTGGTGGTGGTGGTGGTGGTGGTGGTGGTGGTGGGACAGGTATGGCGGTCGGACAGGTATGGCGGTCGGTGAGCTGGCGGTTGTCGGTGAGCTGGCGGCTGGCAAGGGGCGAGGGGACCGAGGGCAAAGGCTCGACGGAGAGTGACAGACATTTTATCGGGCGAGATCTTCCTCGCCGCGGATGGCCCAGGCACGGGCGTCGGAGCGGAGCGTGGCAGAGACAAGGGTGTAACCGCCCCAGAGGTCGATGGTGGCGGCGGCGGCAAGCTTGTCGGTGTCGAGGAATACGACGGCGACGGTGGTGTCGTCGTACATCCGCCGGCGCTTGCGGGCTGGTTGGGAGACGAGAGCCTTGATGGGCTCGTCGGCACCGGCAAAGAGGACAAACGGACGAGCAGCTTTGTCGAGGACGCGGGCCACGAGGTAATCGGCACAGTTGGTGTACGGGCCGGGCGCGTCCATCCACTCAAAGACCATGTCGACAACTTCGGCCGAGGTGAACATGTCCCACAGGCCGTCGCAGCCGAGGACTACAAACGCGTCCGACGACGTCAGCTGTGCATGGTACACTGCAGGCTCGGCCGTCGTGTATGGCGGCGTGTACGGGTTTGGGATCCGCCGCGATGCAGACGACGCCTTGTCCCATACCCGTAAAAGTATGGTGGTGGGTGGTGGTGGTGGTGGTGGTGGTGGTGGTGGTGGTGGTGGTGGTGGTGGTGGTGGTGGTGGTGGTGGTGGTGGGACAGGTATGGCGGTCGGTGAGCTGGCGGTTGTCGGTGAGCTGGCGGCTGGCAAGGGGCGAGGGGACCGAGGGCAAAGGCTCGACGGAGAGTGACAGACATTTTATCGGGCGAGATCTTCCTCGCCGCGGATGGCCCAGGCACGGGCGTCGGAGCGGAGCGTGGCAGAGACAAGGGTGTAACCGCCCCAGAGGTCGATGGTGGCGGCGGCGGCAAGCTTGTCGGTGTCGAGGAATACGACGGCGACGGTGGTGTCGTCGTACATCCGCCGGCGCTTGCGGGCTGGTTGGGAGACGAGAGCCTTGATGGGCTCGTCGGCACCGGCAAAGAGGACAAACGGACGAGCAGCTTTGTCGAGGACGCGGGCCACGAGGTAGTCGGCACAGTTGGTGTACGGGCCGGGCGCGTCCATCCACTCAAAGACCATGTCGACAACTTCGGCCGAGGTGAACATGTCCCACAGGCCGTCGCAGCCGAGGACTACAAACGCGTCCGACGACGTCAGCTGTGCATGGTACACTGCAGGCTCGGCCGTCGTGTATGGCGGCGTGTACGGGTTTGGGATCCGCCGCGATGCAGACGACGCCTTGTTGAACGCCCGGAACTTGTACTTGCCGTCGCCTAGCCCACGGGTCGGCTGCAGCCGGCCCTTGACCCGCCCGCGGAAGATGGCGTCAAACTCGCCGGCGTGCTCGGCCCGGATCCGCACCACCTCGCTCGGCTCCTCGCCGTGGTGGTCCAGCGAGAGCGGTGTGGCAAACCGCGTTGCGCGAAGCTCCCGCGCCGCAAGCACCAGGCCCGGCGGACCGGCGGCGGCGCCGTCGAGCGCTTCGGCCACCACCGCCGGTGGCACGTCCCACCGGCGGACCGGAAGCCGCGCCGGTGCAGCAGTCGAGCCCAGGACCGCCCGGCAGTCACCGGCAGACGCCACGTACAGATCGCGGCCGGCGAGGTACGAGACCAGCAAGCAGGCGCCTGGCAGGCCATCCGCCGGAGTAAGGTCTCCGCGGGCGGCAGCAGCATCGCCAAGATAGGCGGCATCTGCCCAGCGGAAGCCACGGGCGAGCGCCGCCGCAAGCTCGTTGTGCTTGCAGCCGTGGCGGAGGGCGAGCGAGGCTGGGCCGTCGCCCAGCGAGGCGGCGATAAAGGCGAAGAGGTGATCACGGGCAAAGGCCGAGGCGCGCTGGCCCGAGTGGCCATCAAAGACGCCGACGAGCGCATGGCTTGATCCCAGCGCCACCGCCGAGGTATCCTCGCTCGGTGCGTTGGAGGCAAACGTCGCAGTGTGAATCGAGGCCACAGCGACGGGAGCCGCCGGCGGCGGGGTGACCACCCGCGACCCGTCTGACGACGAGACCATGGAGAAGACGTAGGACGAGGCGAGCGAGTAGTGCCACTTGGGCACAGCCGCCGCCGGCGGAGGGCTGCTGCTGCTGCTGTCAGTGCCGGCTGCTGCGCGAGTCCGCCCGCTGCCGTTCGAGGGAGGCGTTGCCATGGCTGTGGTGGCTGTGGTGGCTGTGGTGGCGGGCGTGGGGTGGGGTGCCGACTGACGGCGGCTGGCCGGCTGGACGGCTGGCCGGCCGAAGGCTGGCGGTCTGGGTCATGCTGCTGATCATCGGCCGGAGTGAGGGAGTGACGGTGTTACAGGGACGAACGATGGTATGGGCAGTGTGTGTGGTCGGCCTAACAGAGGCAGATAGAGATGGTCAAGGTGGTAGACGCGGGTCTAAGCCACGCGAGCTGGCCATCTACACAAAGACAAGCGTGGCGTCGATGCCGCGCTGGGCATCGGCGGCCGAAAAGAAGACAGTGATGTCGATTGCATCCGTCGGCTTGCCGCGCGCAGGCCCGTAGAGCGGCACAAACGGCTCGCAGACAAAGGCCCGAGCCGGGAGGGCGTCGTCGCGGGTGATGACAAATGTGGAGGCATGCGGGCTGCGGACGACGATGCGGGCTGGGCAGGCGAGACCGGCACTCCGCACCCGGAGAGTGAGGCGCTCAGGGTGGGCCGAGGCGACAACGCGCATGGCGGTGCGAGCGGCGTCGAGTGTGTAGCTGATGGTCCGTCCGAGGCCGGAAGCCCGATCCTCGCCGTAGTGCACGGTCTTGCGTGTGGCCTCGAGGATGGCACCGGGCGTTGGTTCGGGGATGAAAGCGGTGAGGCCGTCGACGGCGACGGCGGTGCCGTGGCCGCCGAGCGACGAGGTGACTCTCAGTGGAAGGATTGCGCCGGCGCGGTGAAAGACTGGAAAGATGTCAAAGGGAACGGGGTAGGCGGCGAGGTGCGAGCCGCCGGCGTGGCGCGCGCCAGACCACCAGTCGATCCACGAGCCCTTGTCCGGAAAGTGGATCTCGCGGGTGGTCGAGTTGTCGGTCATAGGCGCGACGAAGATGTCTGGGCCGAGGAGATAGTTCCACGACGAGGGTGGGAGCGGGCCGAGGTCGAGGCCGAGCGGTCGCATGATCGACGAGCCGTCGATCCAGGCCTGTGTGCCTGCGGAGAGGAGGTAGGGGACCAGCTCGTAGTGAATGTGAACAAACACGCGGTATGTGTCGAGGGTGGCGTTGCCTGAGCCAAACATCCACGGCCGGTGCTGGTTGTCGCCACCGTTCTCCATCAGCGAGCAAAAGGCGCCCATCTGGAACCAGCGGGTGAAGAGGGCGGTGGTGCGGCCGTTGACCTTGTCCGACGAGCCGCAGCACCGGTAGCCGCCGATGTCCGAGCCAAAGCCGACGTAGCCACGCCAAGCCGAGTGGAACATGTCCATGAGGGCGTCCTTGAGACCCTTGAAGGTCGGATCCTGGTCGCCGACCCATCCGGAGAAGACGACGTAGCGTGGAGAGAACGACCAGAGGTCGTCGACGGGACGCGACATGATGAGGCCCTCAAAGCCTCGGACCTTGCGGGTGTAGTTGAAAAAGTCTCCGTAGTACATGTCGGCGTACTCGCGCTCGTTGATCACGCCGCCCTTGCCGCGGATGATGCCAAACTCGATGACGTACGGATCGGTCCCGTCGCACTTCCAGCCATCAACGCCCATGTCGAGGACAGTGTCCATCTGGGCGTGCCACCAGTCGACGGCAGCCGGGTTGGTGTAGTCGAGCCATGCGCCCTCGCCGTGCCACCACTTGAGCGTCTTGCCGTCGTTGAGATAGTAGCCGCCAGCCTTGCCCTCGGCGTAGTTTGACGAGTCGACATCGATGACCGAGGTGACCCAGCAGATGACCTTGATGTTCTTGGCGTGCAGCTCGTCGATGAGGCCCGAAGCGTTGGGATATCGCCCGGTGTCAAAGGCAAAGTTGTTGATGCCCGACGACCACCGCGAGTCGAGGTCCACCGCCCCGACGGGGATGTCCCTCTCCAGAAAGCCGTCCACAAAGGCCCGAACCGCCGATCCGTTTGCCTGCGACGACGAGAGCCAGACCCAATGATGGTGTGCCCACTCGGCGTATGGTGCCGTCGCCACCTCGTCGGCTGCCGCCACCACCGCCAGGCGCGACGGCGTGTCGGCACCACTCCTGCTGGTGCCGGATGCAGGTGCGACCAGGGCGAGGGTGAGGGCGAGGGCGAGGGCGAGGGAGAGGGCGAGGGTGGAGGAGGGGATACCCATGGTAGAAGAGAGAGGGTGCGGGGTGTGGGTGTGGTGGTGGAGAGAAGGGGGGGGGAGCGTAGTGGGAGTGGGGTGGGAGTGGGGGTGGGGTGGGCGTGGCGCGCGTGCGCGTGCGCGCCAGTTGGAGACCTTTGGGATGCAATGGCTGCCGGCCGGGACGAAGGCGGATCGGTGCAGCTACAGTACAGGTACAGTGCAGGGACGGACAAGCGGACAAGCGGTGCGCGCCGTGCGTGTGATGGAGGTGAGAGAGTCAGACTGGGATTTGCTTTACTCGTCGTCGTCGACAACAGCGTACTTGGACTGCACGAGGGCGGTGGCGATGCGGTCCATGTGGCGGCGGCCCTCAGAGGTGAGGATGCGCATGTTGTTGGCGTCGCGGGTCACAAACTTGATGGTCTCGAGGTTGTTGAGGCACGAGCGGGCGACGGCGCCCGAGCCGGTGGCAACGTGGTTGGGGGCGGTGCCGTTCCGCTTCTTGCCGCCGTAGATGCGCTTGAACATGCCCACGCCAGTGGCGCCGCGCAGGTACACCTGGCGGGCGATGGCGGCGGCACGCACAAAGTACCAGTCGTTGTCGGTCGGCGAGGCCTCCTTGAAGTGCGCCGTCTTGACGTACTCGGCCCAGTCGGGCACCTTCATGCCGCCGTTCTCCTTGAGGAACTGGGAGAGAGCCATGATGAACTTCTCCGCGTGCACGTCCTTAACGTTCGGCATACTGCACACATATACATCACATCGCCACACGGGTGAGTCTTCCCCGCCATGCCCGCACCCTTTGCCTGCCGCCGCCGGTGTAGCTGCCGCGCCCTGCCGATCATACACAAAACCAGAAAAATAGCACTCGCCGCCGCAGCGAGCCTACACCCCCCCACCATCCCCCCCCATCGCCACCACGCGCAGAGTACATGCTCCTGCCTATGGTGTACACCATCTAGTGCGGGGGCCTTGCTCTGCCCACGCTACGTCGCTGTAGCCGGTGCTACGTCCGCTTCCGCCCTCGCGACGCATCCACTAAATCAGCGGCCACTCGGCGGGCCCCACGGCCAACCCAGCCATGGCACAGCTGGTATAGCAGAGCAAGACCCAAGGCCAAGTACGTGGCGTGTACCTGCTGCTCTGTGCTTCCTGGCCATGTGGCGTGCTCACTCCTTCCCTCCCTCCCGCTCCCCTCCCCAGCTCGTTCACGTACGTGTGTATGTATGTGTGAAGTGGTGTGTCCAAGACTCGTCGAGCAAGCAATGCCTTCCATTCGTCCTTTGGCCAAATTTCGTCCGTTCGCTCCGACCAACGCACCAACGATTGTGGCTGCGAGCCAACGATTATGGCTACGAGCCAACGATTATGGCTACGAGCCAACGATTGTGGCTACGAGCCAACGATTGTAGCTACGAGCCAACGATTATGGCTACGAGCCAACGATTGTGGCTACGAGCCAACGATTGTGGCTACGAGCCAACGATTGTAGCTACGAGCCAACGATTATGGCTACGAGCCAACGATTGTGGCTACGAGCCAACGATTGTGGCTACGAGCCAAAGATTGTAGCAATCAACAATGGCCGCAACACAAGGCCGCCCGCTTACCTGCACGGTAGAAGCGGGCAGAGCGGGCAGAGCTGGGCTTGTAAGTTTGGCGAGTAAGTACGGCAACAGAAAGACAGCATGAGAATGAGGTGGGGAGCGATCGATCTCTCGGGTCAGATGATTTTTTTACCTCCGGCGCTGGCGCTTGGGATCGCGCTCGTCACCACCGCGGTCGCCGCCACGGTTGCCGCCACGGTCGCCGCCACGGTCACGATTGCGGTCGCCGCCGTAGCGGTCGCCGCCACGGTC